GGCTTGAAAACACAGGTTTGTGTGAGACTTAAGTTGTTAATCCTAAACAGAGAAGGAAAAAGGTCTCAGGGTTAAGCAAAGTGAAGGATTTATCAGTACCTATCTAAACGACATGTATCTACCGATTCCACAAGCTCATCATGTAGCCTCAATGCACCAATCTGCAACATTTATAACTAAACATTAAGCCGATTGATCATAATGGAATTGGAAATGGTATAGTTTTTACCGTAGCGGTTATCAAAATTGTTAATGGAAACAGACCATAACCGAAGCAGAAGTAAATGGGCCAGGACACGAGTCGAAGGCCCAAACTCAAAAAGTCTTTGTCTAAACCCAAAGAAAAGCGTAATCACACGCAGCAAACAAAACATTTCCTGCGTGTACAAGTATTTGAGAAAGACGACATATAATTTACAGGTGTCAATACATGATTGGATTAAACAAACGTAGACCTAAACCTTTGTCTCTAACTATACCCGTTGGCGAAGATCAAAAGCAAATGAATTCCCAGTCCATAACTAGCTAGTCACTTTTAGGTTGTGGAAAGCTGTTTCTAATTTGCAGTAGTCATATAACTAGATTTCTTGATGCATTGGTACTAAAAAGATGCAATTCTTTTGGATTTAATATAGCAGTAAATAAAAAATTCAATGTTACAACAATGGATATTATTTCCTTTTCATGGTTCGTATCAATCTGTTGGTGTGATACATAAAATACAACAAGCTATTTCGGATGTCAATTGAATCCCATGAAAAACCATCAAGGGTCTTGTGTGAGTGTTACAGATTCTGTGTTATGGCATGCTGCTCCAAGTATTCTTTGCTGTTCATTTCTGTTAATCTACACAACAAACAAATTCGCTTGATGAGCAAAATCCAATGAAACTAGTAGGTTTAGTTGTTGTTAATCACAGAGGCTGTTATTACATTACCTACTGATGGTTCTGTCTTTCGCAAAACCTAATTCGTTATCTACGCAGAGCTCAGTAACATCGTTCTTTCTTGATCTTGATGATGTTCTTGGAGCCATCGATTTCGCCTCTGAGATTGTTACAATCTTTTCCAAGAGTTCGAAAGGACTTGCTTCAGCTGTACACAACAACCTCGCTCTGTTCTCATACATTACCTGCAGCTCTTAAACCATAATCAGATTTGATGAATGGTTTGGTTGTGCTATCTTAATAGAAAAAAACAAGAAGTATGAACTGCATACATCGACTAGCGTGACGAATCTATACGCAGCAGTGCGGTTATGAAGCCCGAACACTGGAATTCCTTCCAAGGCAAGAGTATGAAACTTCTCTGCAGCATCAGGAAGAAGAAGAAGCACTGTTTAGAGACAAGATTTCAGATGAGAGAGAGCCAAAGCAAAGTAACTTACTGAACAAACCGAAGTAATCCGCAGCTCCAAGAGGTCGGTCACATAAATCTTCAAAAGGAAAGTATGCACATCCATTGGCACCTAAAGGAATCTGTTCATGAAGCAGCATTGGTCTGATAAAGAACTTATATACAGAAAACACAAGTGTTGGAATTACAGAGAGATTGGTATAAATTGTACCTGTAATTTTCTTCCCATCACCACTTCTACTACCTGTGGACGCGCAACAACATTGTCTCCAATCAGTTGTTGGAACTTCTGTTTCAATAGGGTCGAAAGATCTTTACCGATGAAGTAGAATCCTTGCTCAGCCTGCAAAAATGAAGAAGTTTCCCAGTTATTGAACTCAGCTTTACCTTGAACCCACTGACTCTAGGGAGTTTTTAAGGGTTTTGAGAGCAGTACCGAAGTTAGTTTCCGGTAATCAACCTCTGAACCGATCTCATGAACCACACTTCGTTCCTGCGAAAATGGAATCTTGATGCAGTCTTTGAATTAAAAAGAAACGACTGAAAATGGACTAATGGAAGTAGTTTATATTACCTTCAATGAAGAAATGAAAGGTAGGAAGAGATCCCTTTGGAGTCCTCCTTCATAGAGTTTATCAGGATTCCGATTCGATGTAGCAACAAGAATCTATATTTTATATCGCAAGCATAAACAAAAGTCAGTTTAACCCCAATGAGCAGAGATGATTGTAGCAGCGTAATGTAAGTAAGGATCACACTTACAACGCCATTGCTGAAGAGATGTCCAAAGAGTCGGTTAAGTATCAGAGCATCTGCAACATCAGTTACCTGTAACAACAGAAACAGTAGCCATAAAAATTAAGAAGGGTTGATCCAAAGATGATCACTTTCAAGAAGATAATATGTGTAATGAAGTATATACCATGAACTCATCTAGACATAGTAAGATTGCATCATGAGCTATCTCTTGGGCAACAACTTCAAGTGGATCTGATAAACCCTTGTGCTTCTGCAAACATTATGACTTAAAATCAAACGAGGTATCACAAAAGGCTAAAGCTTTTCCTACTAAAGTCAATAGAGAAACAATGGAAACTTAGTTATCCATACTTGCAAGCGGCTATGAACACTCAACATGAAATCATGGAAATGTATCCTCTGCTTCTTCCAAGTGCAAGGCCTAAAGAAACAAGAGAATGATCATGAAACCGCAATGCTCGATACAAAAAGATAAGAATTTGATCATACAAACTTACAATTGATCAAAGAATAAGTCCATCAACATGGTTTTTCCTGTCCCTACACCTCCATAAAGGTATAATCCTTTGACGGGTGAGTAAGAAGTCTGCGGCATGAGCCGAGACCAAAACCAACGGCTTCTGTTTCACACAAAAACACAGATTTGTGTGAGACTTAAGTTCTCTCAATCCTAAAAAGAGAAGGAAACGTCTCAAGGCTAAGAGAACAGAAGAATCACCTCGAGGATTTATCAGAAGTATTATACCGATCTAAACGACAAGTATCTACTGAATCCACAAGCTCATCATATAGTCTCTGAAGCTCTCTCAATGCACCAATCTGCAAAATTTCAAACACAACCTTAAGCCGCAAGTAACATGGATCACATTATCGCTCAAAGCTTTAATGAAGTAAAAAAGAGTGTTTTTGATCATACTTGGCAGATATCACCAGTCATGAGCTCACCATCATTGATTCTTCTTTCATACTCAACAAGCGGACCTTTTCTATTCACATCTGTGAGTCATCATTAAACAAAAATCAGTGAATCATAAACACAAACTCTCTCTGAGGTTAACCGAATTCGATTGAAAAGAGAAACAAAACCTGAGACGGTGAGCCTAGTGGCAGCAGGATCAGCAGCTTCTACTGCTTCTGCTGATAAACCTCTAAAGATACTTAACCTCGAATACAAACTTGAATTATCAGTGTTTGTATTCACCAGAGCTTGATTTTGATTGACACCGATCAAAAGTTTACGGCTTTTCGAGTATAAAGTTGAAGAATAGCGTTCTTGATTGTTCCTCAGAGCCCATCTAATCCTACTGAGAGATGATGATCTAATGACTGGTCTCATCTACGATCAATGCAAATTCAATTTGTATGGTAAATCGGAAACAGAGCAAAAGAAAAACAAAATCTTTGTATGAGAAATCGGATCCGGATAAGAATTGGGGTGAATGATGAGAAGAATATTGAAAAGTTAAGTTTGATGTGTTTATATGTAATGGATGATGATAAATCTGGATAAGAGAGATAGAGAGACCCAAGAATAAACGGAGATGTAGTCAAATAAGGAAGATAGAGAAGAAGATCTTTAACTGTTAACTCTTAAAACAGAGAGAGACGTGATTATTGAGTTATTTATCGACTAAGACACACGTTTTATTTTTATTTTTATATAATTTCATTTTTAAAAACCAAAATTGAATGTGTTGCATCCGCTAATTACAATTGTTAATGTTGATTGCATAGTTGTTTTCCAGGTCAGGAGATGATAATATTCCAGGATTTTCCCTTATTTAAGAGAGTTGACTATTTTTATTCTTATGAAAAAAGTACTAACTAATGTCTTGATACATCTTTCTTCTCTTTTCACTTGAAAATTTACTAAACTTACCCTAATGATGTCTACCAGTCAAATTACATATATTATAAACAATTTTTAATTTTTTTAATTATAGTATACAATATTGGAAACGGAAGCTTCTCGATGTTGCGTTTGCGTACAGGATTCTGGTGGACCTAGCAAATGTGTCCATACATGGGCTTAGCATATTCCAAGTGGGAGGGAGATGGTCCTTCTGATGATGATCTAACGGTCTAAATATCTTCTCGTTATGATCTCGATGCCTAAGTTGAACGATGGACCTTAATGGTGACTGGTTGCATTGCGTGTGATTCCACGTGTCGACGTCATTTCTTACAATGCAAACATGTCTTTTTCTGACCAACCCCTAATGCTACTTTTCTTTGATACATCTTTGTTTTTAGCTATAATGGTGCTTGGTGACAAAATAATACTATGTTGATTGTTGAATTCACCTAAAAGGCTAAAACCATAAGCAGATTGGGATATTCGGGAACCATGTTGTGTAAGTGTAAGACATGATGTTTCATCCAAATGGGCTACAATCAAATATTGGACATAGGCCCACAAAATATGCTATCTTCAGTTTTTTTTGTTTTTGAACAACACAAAACAATTTTAAAAATATTAGTTGTATGAAATAAGGGTAAGTGATTACGGAATAATTAAAAGAGATAGGAGAAAACGGTAAACTATATAAGACGGTTAAAGTTTTGTACCACTTTTATTCTTGTTCCGTTATAACTTATCTTTTTACCGATTGATCACAATGGATATGATAATACGTTTACCGTAGCCTAAAAGGTTATCAATCACACTCTACAATTGATGTCTAATGTCTTCTCCGATCGGCAGTGACTTGCTGGCAGTTCAATGTAAATGGGCCTTAAGACAATATATTTTTTGGGCCTTATCAGTTGTTCTGGCCCATTGAGATGAGAACTGCTCTGTTTCAGTTTTCCAACAGCAACAGCCGATAAGAGAATCGAAAGCCCAAATTAAGAATCTTTGTCCTAAACCCAACGACACGCAGCCAAACAAAACATTTCCTGCGTGAAAAAAGTATTTGAGCAGGTTGTGTACAGGTGTCAATATATAATTGGATTAAACAAACCTAGACACCTAAAAGTTTTCTCTCACACCATTTGTGAAGATCCAAAGCAAAAGAAGAGTTACAGAAACTGAAAAAAGTATTTTCGTCGTCTGTTTGATCTTTCTCTCTTTTATTGATGGCGAATCAAGGAGCAAAGAAGCGGAAAGATGAGAACGCTCGACACATGGCTAAGCTCCGTCTTATAATGATCTGCTGCAACGTACTTCCTCTTCCCCATTTCTCAGTTTCTCAAACATTAATCCATTGAGCTTAAAATTCCATTGAATTTGGTCTTTAGCATTTGAAAGTTTCAATTTTTAGCTCAAAATCGGAAGATTTTGTTTCGATGAATTCGAGGATTGATTTTTTTCTTTTGGCAGATTTTGTATGTCATAGTGAGGGTGATAATTTCGCATTCAAGCCATACCTGGAAACATTGGATTGGTCTTGTGGTAACATCGTTAGGTTACGCCATTCCTTATAAGCTTCTTGATCAAATGGCAAAGCCTAGTGTTAGTGATGATGGTGAACTTCTTGACGGTGGATTTGACATGAGCACTGGTGGAATGTGTGGGTACGTTCTAAAAGATTTTGTCTTTTAAATTGATCAACTAAGAATAGAAAGTGCCTGCTTTTGTCTCAAGTGTTCTGTATGTTTGGATTCTGTCTCCATAACCAAAATCAGTAGTAGGAGGAGTGTTTCATTATCAGTTGTTTGAAATGAGTGATGTTTAAGTCACCATAGTTTTGGTTCTCTCTGAGTTTCATCGTTTATCAGTTGCTACATAATCGTCATCTTCATGGTGGATTGGATTGATGGTAGATTGTATATCATAAGCCTCTGCTCTCTTTTTCCTTGTAGATATTTGCACGATGTACTCTACATCACCTGCTTTGTGCAGCTCGGATCTATCATCTCTGGAAAGTTTTGGTACGCGTATTTAGTGGTATGATACCCAATCTCAATTTTCTTTATTGGCCTACTTTAGGCAAACAACAGATTTGCTCTGTAGGAATGATGCAACCATTTACATTTGCTTTTTTTTTCTTTTTTCAGATTCCTGCATTTGGAGCCTACAAAGCTTCTGGTCTTATTAAGGGATTATTGTCACATGGTTCAGAGGTAATCACTAAGTTTTGAATACTCTCAAAGTGCTGTGAACAAGGGGAAATACAACATGAGCATTAAAATGGACTGTGTTTGTCTCTATGACTCAACTTAGGGAGGTGTTGAGGATGAGAAGACTCGCAAAAAGAGGGAGAAGATGGAGAAAAAAGCTTCTAGGGGACAAGTCGTCAAGACAAGATCACGATGAATGTCTTAAACATCATCTTTAGCAACACAATTGGTAAAGCTTACTTCAAACATACAAAATGCAAATCAGTGGGTAAAATACTCTTGACTTTGCATGTACCTGTTTTACTGACGGATGTAGCTGTCTTTACACTATTTTGACTTAAGTGGATGTGTTAAGATGAAGTAGACTAATAGTCCTGAGTAGGATACAGTGAAATTCTCAGAAGATAAGACTTTGTTCTTTGAATTTTTGCGATATTATGGTGATGTTGCGACTTGTGAGCCATTAGACCGACAAATGATTCGACTTGAAAATTCAGATTCATAGCTAAAGAGCCTTGACTGTGACTATGGAATAAGTGGGAAATGATGGAAAGAGTTGTGAAACTCAAGAGAGACCATTTTGTATTTCATTTCTTGAACACAAATCAAGATTTAGCTACAGAAATAGCACGAAAGAGCTAATAATATTTGCGAACAACCAAAGAACATGAGACTATAATAATGTTCTTGATTTACCCAAGGTACAGATTGTTACATACAAAAAAGTTGCCCTGTACTTTCATACATTTGGTATTTGATTTTATACATCACCCAGTTGTTATGGAGAAGAGATTGAATTCACGTTCCATTGTCCATAAAGACTCATTCTTGTTATTGATACTTAGCGTATACTCCTGGAAATACCCGTTATAAGTAATCACCGATACCGTTGCTCTGAAAAGAACGAGAAACGCAAAAGATTATTAAAACTTGTCATCTAACCATGATTTCAAAATGAGGATATCCTAAAATTTTACCTAAGAGATGTAAACTGAGATGGAGATGATGTTCCTTCAAGTTTGTCTATCTTCCTAACCACTGCATAACTGTAAACACAAGCAAGAGATAGACAATAAACCTGTTGGGTTATATAGCCTAATAGGTCATTAGCAGCGTCCAAAAGAATAGCCTTTCACCTTCTAATCCCAGAAGAAACTGCGTTTTGAAGCACATGATGATGAGCTGGATCCAGTGCATCACTCACGCTGTCCGGAAGAACTGATCCAAGAAAGCTGGTAGACCTTTTGCTTCTGAGAAACTCTTACAACTGTTAGGAATCTCACTATACATAAGGGAAGTGAGAGTGTGCTTCTTAAGTTCTTAATCCTAACCTTTGGTTTATGGCCAAACTTAAAGAGAAGGCATGAATGGAGCCTGAAGAACTCGTTGCAATTAATATATCCGGAAGCTGTGTCGATGGTCCAAAAGACAGTGAGTATATAGTAGATGGGTATGTTCCTCTCCTGAAACTATATGACTGCAAACAGAAGAAAGAAACGATTAAGAATTTGTAGAAAAACAAAATGGTCATGTATTGAAAGAGCAACTATTCACCTTAGTTGCTTCCGAAACAAGATGGACTCGGATCAAGGTTCCTTGCTCAGATGCTGTAGCAATGTACATTCCATTTGACGAGAGTGCAATCGCAGCCAATGGAGAACGATGTGCATCTATCTGTAATCGAGTTTACCAAACAGAGAAACAATACAATAATTAACAACTGAGTTTAGTATGCAAATTAGAAATATAATCCAAAATCTGGTGAAGCATCTAGTAAACCTCACTATGAGACTGCAAATCCATGACGTTATACACCAAAACCGACCCTTTCGTCGCACTAGCTGGAACAGCTAAGTAGCAGCCTTCAAGAGATGGAGAGAATGCAGATAGACCTGAACGAAGATAGACATTTATATTTCTGTTTACAACGAACTATTACGAAGGAAACTTTAAAAGCTACCTTTAGGATTTGGCACGGTGTCGATAGTATCAAGCATGACAAGGGTATTCAAGTCGTAAACGAATGTTTTCTCTAGCAGCACAACAACAAGTCTGATAAGAATCAATCACAGAACCATGAATTCACTCACAAAAGCCAAAACAAAACAAAAAAAACAGTCAGAAGTAATAAGTTCAGTAACAAACCTTTTCTTGTTCATACGGACAGCGAGTATAGAAGTTAAAAAGTTCAATTCCCTAAGAGGTAAACCCGTTGTGGTCTTGAACAAACAAAGACGCCGTGGGGATAGAGAAGCCTATATATATGAAATTTTCCTTAATCAAATCCGATAACCGAAAAAATAATGTTCATAAAGCACAAACCTGTTCACCAGCTCCAACAATGGCAAGTAGATCTGAGCTATACAACATCTCAACAATAACAAAAGCTCCAGCAGCTAACAACAACAAACAAACAAAATCAAAAAGCTTCAACACATAGTTTCAGTAAAAAATTGAAGCTTGAAATAAATCTAGGATGATCTTATACCAATTGCATTAGCTTTTTTACCAGGTATCGATATTCAGACACTAGCCAATCTAAAATTTAATGTCTGCATTACAGGAAGTTGTCTTCAATATCAGAAGATCATACTTAAGATTTCGATTCATCTAACCAAATTTTGTTTCAAACCCATCAATTATAAACGCCCAAAGATTCAATTTGAAGGAGATAGACAACACATATTAGATATTTTGATTAAAACCCAGAAACTGCAGAACCAAAACGAAGAGAGAATTCTAAGTGGATGATGATGATAAAACTTGCCTCGTTCATAGCAGAGTCTGCCTGTAGTGGAATCGAATATTTTGAAGGAATCTTTCCAGCTTATAGCAAAACCACTGCAATAATCGAACAGCCAACAACAACAAAAGGGCAGCTTTTGAGTTACGTTATCTGAGAAAAGAAAAAGGTAAAGTTTTTTCCTGGAAAATCTACTAAGAGAATCGAATTCGTTGTTCTTCAATGATTTTCCAATAAATAAGAAAGCTCACCTATTATCTTGATTGAAAGAAACACAATAGATAGGAGAAGGAAGAGAGGACGACTGATTCGCCATGTCTCCAAATTGTAGAAGAAGACTCTTTTCGTCAAGACAGCTGTTTTAATGTTTTCTGCTTTATATACATGTTCTGTTTTCGTCTTCTTCTTCCCAAAACGTTGTCGTTTCTTTCCTCTTTCTATTTCTTTTCAAAACGATGTCGTTTTGTTGTTGAGTGTTATAAGATTTGTTGTTGGTTTTGAAAATGACACATGAGAGTCAAAGTTGGACAAAAGTCGCAACACATTAAGCTTAAAGGACCACAAACACAAAGCAGCTTATGATAACAACAACAGATAAATTCTCAGAACTGTTGATACGATTTTGAGTGTCTGTGAGAGAGAGAGAGCAAATCAGATTCTGGTCAAAAGAAAAAGAGTCAAACATATCAGTCTCATAGTTTCTTCGTTTGTCATCATAATGTTAAAGGACGCAAAATTATCAAAGAAACTCACAACCAAAAAGTTAATATATACATCAACATAACAAACACATAATCTCAAACTGTCGACAAATTTTTCGTCAATTCACCACAATATACATTTGCCTATATTGTAAAAGTGTAGAGCTTTTTCCTTGGGTTGTTTGATCCATTGTATGTCGAAAAATGATATCATTCTTTCTTTCATTGTGTTATCTTGGACCGGATAGTTCCATGGCGAATGAATCTAAAGGCTGATGATCATCGTCATCATCGAAAGCCGAAGATCCAAACATTTGATAAGCTGGGTCATTGCAATGTGCGTCAAGCCTTGAGACAGAAGTAGTAGACAGAGAAGAGATTGTCTTGAAAGAGATATTGGCATGGTAGAAATGTGAATGGTTATGTGAAGCAGCCCATCTCTCGGCTAATCCATCGCCTTCAAGCATCAAAACCACTTCAGACATTTTAGGACGATGAGCCGGAAGATATTGTGTGCATAGCAAAGCCACTTGCAACATCTCTCCAACTTCAATCTTATCGTAGTTTGTCCCGAGTTCTCGGTCCACCAGTTCCTCTACTTTCATCTCTTCATGCAATTTCCTCACCTAAACCAAAGTTACAACATCCGGAGAAAATGTTAATTTGGTTGATCTTATCAAGTAATCAAGAAAATATAATTCTGAGTCTCATTGCTTACCCATTCAAGCATAGCTCCTTTCTGGCTAACAGTTTTACCAAACTCAAGAGCTCTCATTCCAGTTATGAGCTCGAGCAAGAGTATACCGAACCCAAACACATCGGTTTTCTCAGAAGACTGACCGGTTGAGAGATATTCGGGTGCAATGTGGCCAACCGTACCACGAACCGCAGTTGTGACATGCGAATCTGCGTGGTTAAGGAGTTTTGCAAGGCCAAAGTCACCAACAACAGCTTCAAAGCACTCGTCTAAGAGAATATTCGCTGCCTTAACATCCCTGTGAATGATCTTGGGATCACATTGCTCATGTAGATACAGCAAACCTCTCGCTGCACCAATTGCTATCCTCTTCCTCATGTTCCAGTCCAATGCCGGTTTAGCTACAACAGTTCACAAAATTAGTTAAAAGTCCTCGAAAACGAGATTTGGACTGACGATTCAAGACATTATACTAACATTTAAGCTTAGAGGCGACACTCCCATTAGGCATGTAAGGGTAAACAAGAAGTCTTTCACCAGAAGTTGCGCAATAACCAATTAATCGAAGCAGATTCTTATGAACAGCTAAGCTAATCATTTCTAGCTCCATACGAAACTGTGAATCCCCCGAGGTTCCGTTAATATCCTTCAACCGTTTCACTGCCACCATTGTCCCGTCTCCAAGCTTTCCTCTGTACACATTCCCAAATCCTCCAGCGCCGAGAATGTTCTTGGAACTGAAACCATCTGTAGAAACATGAAGTTCTCTGAATGTGAAGCTTCTAAGATTCCCAAGTCCTTGAAGCCCTTCCTCTTGTTTATCTGCTAAAATCAAAACTAAAAACTTAACATCTTCCTGAATCAAAGTTGTATAAACAACAAGCTCAAATCAACGGACCGTTTAAGTTCAGGATCAGTAGCCTTCTTTGTTTCTTCCGGTACCAAAGAAAGGACCCGAGAGCAAGGACTAGTATAACAACAAAGCCAAGGCTTGCACCAAGAGCTATCGCCAATCTATTAGACCTGCGTCCTACACAGACTCAAGTAACTAAATTGATTAATGAAAGGATCATTACAATGGGGTTAATTCAAGAAAAAAGACAATGCAAGAACAAGAATTTTACCTGATGAAGAGCTCAAAGAAACAGAAAGAGGACTTGCATTGATTGATCCAGAACAAATCTCAGGTGGGCTGCTTCTACAAATCAAAGGATTACCAGCAACACTACACATTCAAAAGCAAAGCAGAAGCAAGACTTAGTCCTGAATTCAAATACAAGAATCTGTGAAATCACTTCAAATTATGAAACTTGAGGTTTATT